AGGATTTGAAAACCATCTTCTGCCCACTGGAATAACAGATAGATCATTTTATGTATAGGTGTTACAGAGTTAAAAGAGTGTATTTTAAGTAAATTATAACATTGAAGGATTCTGGAACATCATAAATGAGACCATAGGTCAAGTGGTTTATGAATGTCTCTCCAACCCTAAAATGGCATTTTCCTCTAACACACTCTTCAAAGTAGTGTCTATTTCACACATTAAAATGTAGCCCATCTTAAGGCATACTCAGTTACTCAACTTACTCTGCACTAACACTAGGGAAGTTAGCCAACACTCCACTACCGAGCCTCATTGAAACTTCTTCAACATGTACTGCAAATAAGCAGAACATCAAAAAGCACAGTCTAAGTTTTATGCTGACCCACCCTTATTGTTAGAATGATATAGTTTACAATCGTTTGTTATTTATCAACACGTTTAACACAAATGCCACTACGCATAATCTCTTATTGCTGAACATTCGTATATTACCTGTTTGAAAAGAAAAATGTGCTTAATCCTGTTGTGACGAAGTGCCCTTCGCCACTTGGTACTGGAGAGGCCTGCTTGCCAGCTTCCTCCCCTGTGACTATGACTCTTTGATGTATTTGCCTTTAAAGCCCCTATTCTACCCTCAGACAGACTATTTATGTAGGCTGCTTTATTTATCTTATGTTTTAGTCACCCTGTACCCATTATAGGTGCAGGGTGTGTGTAATGTAATTGTTTATAGTGTGTGTGTGTACTGTGAAATGTATTGCCTTCTCTCCTGTACTGCTGAGGTTTGCTACCAACTAGGTGGGTTTGGCTATGGAGCTGGTCTAGTGCCCTCTGTTGGTACAACATGCTTACACCTACACATATTTAACCTATGGCCAGCTTACAATCTGTCTGTACTGTTTAATTTACACCTTTCTGTTAAAGCCCACAGGCGTGAACAGTTATGGTTCAGTACCTAACCGATTTTATACTCTCCTTTCAGTGTAACCCTCTTCAGGACTTCCACTGGTCGCTGGTTCGTTAACCTCACGACTCCGTAAGATGGGATGACGGCTTCGTTTGGTCTCTCCTCCTATCTCGTTACCAGGAGTCCTTAAGTTCCGCTCGCCAGAGACCGCAGTTACCGTTTCATTGAGTTTCTGGATGTTCGAGCTCTATCTGGACTTGGATGTCGCTTTAAGAAAGAGGAAGTGTACAGGCAGCATGACCCTTATATACTATGCTGCTCAGTGATTTATTTGTTACTCTTTACGTTTTCTTTACTGCTGTGGAGTTTAGTAAAGAGAGTTAATGCAAAATACTCGCCTCCTGTCCTTATTAAAATTAAGATTATTAGTACACTAAAGCTAGCATAATCTTCAATTGTTTATAGTGTGTGTGTGTACTGTGAAATGTATTGCCTTCTCTCCTGTACTGCTGAGGTTTGCTACCAACTAGGTGGGTTTGGCTATGGAGCTGGTCTAGTGCCCTCTGTTGGTAGCAACAGCAATATGCACTACCTGAATTGCAAGACTGCTTCATTTGCATATTCAGGTAGATTTGCATATTGCTAATTCTGCAGGCAGGTGAGATATTTACTGTTAAATATTGTCTCCCCCACCCCTTTAAAAATGTGCCATTGTGTTGTGATAAGTCACTGTGTGTTTCTTGATATGGTTTGACTGTTTGTGATTTTATTGAGGTTTCACAACAATGTTATTGTGGTGACTGTATTGGCTGGTCCCAAGGGAATAAAGGTTTTGACAGTTCTTCTTGATCCCTCTAAATGTAGCCTTGTCTCGTTATTGGAGGGAGCTGTTATAATCACACTGGGGATTGCTATGCTCTGCATGCTCCCCTGAGCTTGAGTCACTTAGCTCTTTTAAGAGCTTGTTCCTGACACGCTCTCCTTGGAGGAGGGATCTTCACCACACAGTCCTGGATGCTGGAGGTTCATACAGGGTGGAAGGAAGAGTTCTTTCCCACACAGTCCTGGAGGACAGAAGCTGATCCAGGGTGGAAGGAAGACGGCGAGACTCCAGTCAAGATACGGCGGTTGCGGAGTCTGCGGTGGTTGTGGTGTCTGCTGCAGTGCTTGGAGTCCTCAGGAAGCGCTAGGAGCATCCATCAACGGAGGGTACTCAGTCGGAGTACAAGGAGCTCCGTTACATTGGTGGCAGCGGTGGGATGGCGTCCTAGTGCGAGGAGAAGCAGCTCGGAGACACTGGTATCGTATGAGAGGTTATTGAGGGCAACGCTAGCCACTGTGCAGCGTCCCTAACTACAGCAGCATGGAGCAGGGATGGATAGAGCCCTGCGAAGAGCACCTCAACATGATACGTCGCTACGAGGACGACGCTTACATTGAGGAGGTAAAGAGGCGGTTGGTCTGCTATGGCCCAGACCTTTCGAACGAGGTGGTCCACCAAGTAATGCGCCAGTTGAGTGCTGAGAACAGTGCGGCAATGGCCTTTGAGCGACAACTGTGGAGGTTGAGGATATGGACACCTAGTCTCCAGCGGCAGTGCAAGTTACAGGGAGCCGAAGGTGTCGTCCTAACTCCCCAGCGGCAGTGCGAATTCCAGGGGGCCGAAGGTGTCGTCCTTCCCCCCCAGCGGCAGTGTGTCCTACAGGGAGCAGAGACAGTTGGTCTCTCTCCCCAGCGGCAGTGCAAGTTACAGGGAGCCGAAGGTGTCGTCCTTCCTCCCCAGCGGCAGTGCAAGTTACAGGGAGCCGAAGGTGTCGTCCTTCCTCCCCAGCAGCAGTGTGTCCTACAGGGAGCAGAGACAGTTGGTCTCTCTCTCCAGCAGCAGGACAATGTTATGGGAGTGGAGACAGGCGGTCTCCCTCTCCAGCGGCAGCCTGTGTTTCAGGGAGAGGAGCACAGCACCCTATCTCCCCAGCGGCAGCTTACCCTACCAAGGGGAGACACCAATCTCCCAGATGGCGCAGAGGGGATCGTGGTCTCTGTGCCCGACCTACAGGGATGCTGGACAGCCTGTCCAGATCCCCAACTACCCTCATAGGGACAACAGGAGGAGGGGGTAAGTACGAATTCCCCTCCCCAGCTAACTCCTAACTTGGCCCCAGGGTTAACAGGGGAGATGTTAACCCCCACTGACCCCCACGTTCCCCTGGCTACTGAGCCGGACTATGTCCCAAGCCCCCAGCGGAAGAGCTGGCAGCTGGGCAGAGTGCAGTCGGCCTCTGCCCTCCCTTTGTCCCTTGTCCAGAGCCTGATGTCCTGCAGGCTATACCAGCAGAAGAGCTGGCATCAGGGCAGACCGCCTCTGGCCTCTGCCCTACCGATCCCCTTGTCACAGGACTGGCCTGCACCCCCCTCCTCCCAGCAGAAGCGCTGGCATCAGGACAGAGCGCCGCTGGCCTCTGCCCCGCAAGTCCCCACAGCGTGTTGCCCCATCACCCCAGAGGAATACCCAGGTGCAGTCACTGTTTGCTGTGGGTGGGCTGCTCTAATAACTGTTTGTTGTGGGTGGGCTACTCTGGCACTTGCGTATGGTCGGTGGGTGAATCGACTAACTTAGGCACTGACCGACAGAAAGTCAGGTGCCTGGTTAGTCTTCCCCCCGAAGGGGAGATATGTGACGAAGTGCCCTTCGCCACTTGGTACTGGAGAGGCCTGCTTGCCAGCTTCCTCCCCTGTGACTATGACTCTTTGATGTATTTGCCTTTAAAGCCCCTATTCTACCCTCAGACAGACTATTTATGTAGGCTGCTTTATTTATCTTATGTTTTAGTCACCCTGTACCCATTATAGGTGCAGGGTGTGTGTAATGTAATTTTATAACATGACAGGAGGCTTCCTATTTTGCATTAACTCTCTTTACTAAACTCCACAGCAGTAAAGAAAACGTAAAGAGTAACAAATAAATCACTGAGCAGCATAGTATATAAGGGTCATGCTGCCTGTACACTCCCTCTTTCTTTACTGCTCCATCGCAGACAGGTCAGAATATTTGCTCCCCTGGAGCTTTCTACATTTATTGTCATTTCTTGTTTGTTCCATATATATATTTCAAACATATTTTCTCACTTTGTTTACATCCTTTTATTTCTATTTCCTATCTTCATCAGGGCTGTGGGACAAGGGGCTCTCTGTGGGTCTTTTCTGCCCCTATTTGCCCCTCTGTACCTCCTGGGACCCTCCCTTGGCTTCCCCTTGGTCCCCCCAGGTTCCCCCACTGCCCCCCTTCCCTGGAGTGCCCTCCTGGGCTCCCTCCTTGCGGCCGGTTTCATTCGCGGCCGTTTTCGCGCCGGCCCGCTTCCATCCGCGGCCGGCCTCAAAAATTTAGTCCCCGGCTTGCGGCCTACCTCGCGGCCGCCATTTTGGATCGCGGACATCGCGAGATTCTCGCGGCCATCTTAGTTTTGCCTCGTGCATCTCACTAGGGACTCAGTGTGGCTGTGCTAGCTTGCTGGTACCTCTGAAACTGCTGTTTTCCTCACCTTTTGTGTCTGACACCATCTGTGACTATAGGATTACCTACTCAAGCACCCCATCTGCTGCTTTCAACCTGCTACTCAGTCTGTGCCTCATCTGCTTCTATCAAGCTATCCTGTGGCTGGGTCAGTCAGGTCAGTGCTGCTGCCTGTTTATTATTATTGTGACTTGCACTTAAGGGTCCCAACCCTGTGCAACCGGGGTGAGTCCCCACTATAAAGACGCTGCTTACTGGGAGACTAGCTGTTGCAGTTCTCTCTAACTGGGTGAGCCCCAGTTTATAAGGTCACTACTATACCCTGCTGGGGTTATTCTGGGCTTGCTCCCACAATACTTCCAAATCTGACCCTACGCCTACTACCAAGACCTGGGTGCCTGTTTATTACTGTGCCTTTCAATAACTTATAGCCTACCCTACCATGGAAGATTCCCAGAATGTCCCTGTGGACTTCCAGGCCATGATTAACGCAGCTGTCGCTGCCTCTGTGGAGAAGGCACTCTCCAAGGCCCGAGCTTCGGCTCCTGACGTACCTAAACGCAGACGTCCACGCCACGAGTCGGAATCTGAATTGTCCGACCACCAGGCACGGGAGGATTCCCGCCCTAAAAAACGCCATGACAAAGGCGAAGATTGCACACCCAAACCAACTAAGGGTAAGGCACCTGCCAAGCACAAGTCTGCCAAATTACACACCCCGGCCCCGCGTCAGGAGTACTCTTCTGACGAAGAGCAAGAAGCCCAGTCCATGTCAGTGCTGGATGAATGGCAAGCTGACGCCTCTGACTCGGACTACGACGCATGGGGTTCGGACGAGAAATCTGTCTCCGCTTTCATGCGAGAGACTCTCCTGGGTGCGGCCCAGACAGGAGGTGTCGAGGACACTGCGGACGCAGAACCTCCTCTTGATTCAGACACCATCTTGGACCCCTCAGGCCAAGTGATGTTCGACCCCCGCAACATTCGGCACCCCAGGTCGGGTGACTGGTCGCCTCCTGAACACCTTTCTAGGTTTATGCACCTGTGGCTCCGCAAACCTCTGGAGAAAGAGGTCCGCAGCCGACTCAGGTCCGAATGCCCACGCCCTTCCCTGCCGGATAAGGTCGCGCAGACCCCGGAATTCGACAAGGTTATGTCAACCTTCATGATGCGCAGTGGTAGAGACCCTCGCCGAGGGGTGGAGAAAGGCCTATGGGGCGCCCAAGATAACCTGCTGGATTCTGTAGGCCCCCTGGCTCGCATTATGTATTTGGCGGATGATGCCTACACCAAAGCCGATTCCTTCTCCGCTGAGGACATCAGGGAATGGGCACATGATGTTCGTGAGTGGGCACAACGGTGTTTTTGTTTCATCGGAAACACTAATGTTACGCTCTCTTCGGAGAGAAGAAAAGCAGCGTTGTACCGTATTAACGGCAAACTGGCAGACCTTGGCACAAAGGAGATAGGGCCCCAGGCACAAGGGAAATTATTTGGCGAACCGTTCCTCAAGGAACTCAACAAACACGTGAACGTGTTCACCTCCCTTAACAAGGCGCAGTCCTCAATGCGCAGAGTGTTCAGAAGCAACCCTACCAGAGGGGTTTTTGGAAGGGCTGGCCGGCAACGGGGCCGTGCCGCCAGCCGATTTTGGCCTTCAGGCCCCCGCACCCAACCAACACCGTTTTACCCGACAAGAGACTACCGGCAGCAACCCTTTTCCAGAGGCTCGGATAGAGGTCGTGGACCCCGCGGACGCGGACGTTCCCGCTTTGCTGCAGGTAAGGACCCACATTCCTCCACTGTTACCATGTACCCGCACTGCGGGCCGTATTTCCCTTTCTTTCCAGAATTGGGCCGCCCTATGCTCAGACACATGGATCCTACAAACTGTACAGGGATATATCATAGACCTAGTGGGGAACCCCTCTCAGGTTCAGCCCCTCCCCCCATCCACATGTCATCCTCCGACCACAACCTCGTCAACGCGGAGCTACGCGAGCTCCGAGACAAAGGGGCTATCCAGCCGGTCCGCGACGGGGGTGGTTACTTCAGCAACATCTTCCTGGTTCGGAAAAGGTCGGGAGAATACCGCCCCGTCATCAATCTACGCGCCCTCAACGCATATGTGGTCTACCGCCACTTCAAGATGGAAGGCATCCACCTCCTGCGAGACCTTCTTCGAAGCAACGACTGGTTCACCAGGCTCGATCTAAAGGACGCATATCTGTCAGTCCCGGTACACCCGGACTGTCGAGCACTCCTACGTTTCCTCTGGCACGGACGCCCTTGGCAATTCACTTGCCTCCCTTTCGGGCTCAGCTCAGCCCCATGGTGCTTCACCAAACTCCTAAAACCAGTGGTGGCCCACCTAAGATCAAGGGGCATTCGATGCATCATCTACTTAGACGATCTCCTCATCTTCTGCGCCGACGAACACAGACTACGCCAACACACTCACCTGGCAGTGTCCCTACTGGAGTCTTTGGGTTTCGTGGTAAACCAACAGAAATCGGAGCTGACCCCTACCCAGACGATACAATTCCTCGGCTTCGAGATCGACTCGACAACTTGCACTCTGAGGCTACCAGCCTCAAAGATCACAGCCATTCGCAAGGAGATTCGCAGGGTTCTTCGTCTCGACTCCATTCCACTACGCAATCTGGCCAGGATTGTAGGACTCCTCTCTGCCTCCATTCAGGCCATATTTCCGGGTCCCCTCCACTACAGGGCCATGCAACGTCTCAAGGCGAAATACCTACGCCGCAAGCCTACTTACGACCAACCCGTCCCGGTGACGATGGACTATCGTGGTGGCTGGACAGTATGCAAGCCTGGAACGGCAGGGCCATATTCGGAGACGCTCCAGACTTCGTACTGGAATCAGACGCCAGCCTGTGGGGATGGGGTGCCACCAACGGAACCATCTCCACGGGGGGAACATGGACGGCGCAGGAGCTCTCCATGCACATCAATTGCCTCGAACTCCTGGCAGGATCCTTCGCGATTCGCAGCTTGGCCCGGGAAAGATCCAACTGCTGCATCCTCCTGCGCATGGACAATGTATCCGCAGTCCAGTACATCAACCGCCTGGGAGGCGCTCGCTCTCGCCTGCTGTCGGATATCACGAAAGGCATTTTCGACTATTGCCTCCCTCGCAACATCACGCTACAGGCAGAATACTTGCCAGGAGAAATCAATCTCACAGCCGACTGGTTCTCTCGCCACTGGAGAGACGTCAGCGACTGGAAGCTAAACACGAGAATCTTCAGGGCCCTTGCAGCCCGGAGGGGTCCCTTTCACCTGGATCTGTTTGCCTCTCGCAACAATCACCAGACCCCGGAGTTCTTCAGCTGGCTCCCGGACCCGGAGAGCAAGGCGACAGACGCATTTCTCCAACAATGGCCGTCGACAGGAGCCTACGCTTTTCCCCCATTCTCCATGATTGCGAGAACACTACACCAGATACGGACGCAACAGATCAAACTGGTTGTCATAGCGCCCTTGTGGCAGAGCCAACCATGGTTCCCGGACCTCCTGGCCTCCTCCTACAGGGACCCTCTTCTCCTACCATCCTTCCCGGACCTACTCACGGATCCCAAAGGGCATCTCCACCCACTACTCCTGGAAGACCGGCTACCCCTGGTGGCTTGGTCTCTTTCCGGGGTTCCTGGGGAGTCAGCGGACTATCGCAGGCTGCTAGGGACCTCTTATGGGACTCATGGGCCCCGGGAACTAGACGCTGTTACCTTTCAGCTTGGACCTCCTGGTCTACTTGGTGCATGGAACGGGACTCCGATCCCTTTACAGCACCTATTCCCATGATTCTTAATTTTCTCTCCTCCTTGTTTTCATCTGGCCGCTCCTACCGTTCGGTCAACGTCGTGCGCTCCGCGATTTCGGCGGCTCACACCCCCGTCGGGGATCTCCCGGTCGGCAAAGACCCTCTGGTCTGCCGTCTACTCCGCGGTATGCGGCTCCGCCGTCCCCCGGCCCCCAGATACCCTCACCTATGGGATGTGGGACTGGTTCTCCGCTTCTTCAGGGATTGGCTTCCGAATGACCGCCTCTCCCTACGCCAACTATCCGCTAAGTGCGCTTTCCTCCACTGCCTCGTATCTTTCCGGCGGGTTTCGGACGTTCGGGCCTTCGACGTGGACGCTTTCGAAGTGGCCCCTGAAGGGGTCACGTTTCACATTTCCCGTCGCACTAAGTCGGGTTCGACCTCGGTCTTTTACCCATTTTTTCCCGACGACCCGCAGCTTTGCGTCGTGTCCACCCTCCGCAGGTATGTTTCGGTTACCTCCTCGCTCCGGTCCTCTACGTCGGGCCAACTCTTAGTCTCCTACGTGCGCCCTCACGCCCCAGTCTCGGTCACCACCTTGGCCCGATGGATCCGCTGGATCCTTTCCCTCGCAGGTATAGACCCCGCCTTCGGCGCCCACTCCGTTCGCGGTGCGGCGGCTTCATCAGCCTTCCTGGCAGGGGCGTCCCTCTCGGATATTCTCAGAACGGCGGACTGGTCTAGGGAATCCACTTTCCGTACATTTTATTTTCGCACTCCCCCTTCTGCTGGGATGTCACTTCTTCAGCGTTAAAATTGCAAAATAGGAAGCCTCCTGTCATGTTATAAAATTGAAGATTATGCTAGCTTTAGTGTACTAATAATCTTAATTTTAATAAGGACAGGAGGCGAGTATTTTCCCTCCCTTTTGTTCCCTACCCTGACTCCTCGGGGGAGTGGATCTTAAGGTGATGGATTTTGGGATTCATATTAGTGGTTCCACTATCTCCTGGACATATTCGGTATCCCTTCCATCTCTATTCCCAGTGTTTCCACCTAGACGGACAGTTTAGTTGTACAACATGCTTACACCTACACATATTTAACCTATGGCCAGCTTACAATCTGTCTGTACTGTTTAATTTACACCTTTCTGTTAAAGCCCACAGGCGTGAACAGTTACGGTTCAGTACCTAACCGATTTTATACTCTCCTTTCAGTGTAACCCTCTTCAGGACTTCCACTGGTCGCTGGTTCGTTAACCTCACGACTCCGTAAGATGGGATGATGGCTTCGTTTGGTCTCTCCTCCTATCTCGTTACCAGGAGTCTCCTTAAGTTCCGCTCGCCAGAGACCGCAGTTACCGTTTCATTGAGTCTCTGGATGTTCGAGCTCTATCTGGACTTGGATGTCGCTTTAAGAAAAAGGAAGTGTACAGGCAGCATGACCCTTATATACTATGCTGCTCAGTGATTTATTTGTTACTCTTTACGTTTTCTTTACTGCTGTGGAGTTTAGTAAAGAGAGTTAATGCAAAATACTCGCCTCCTGTCCTTATTAAAATTAAGATTATTAGTACACTAAAGCTAGCATAATCTTCAATTGTTTATAGTGTGTGTGTGTACTGTGAAATGTATTGCCTTCTCTCCTGTACTGCTGAGGTTTGCTACCAACTAGGTGGGTTTGGCTATGGAGCTGGTCTAGTGCCCTCTGTTGGTAGCAACAGCAATATGCACTACCTGAATTGCAAGACTGGTTCATTTGCATATTCGGGTAGATTTGCATATTGCTAATTCTGCAGGCAGGTGAGATATTTACTGTTAAATATTGTCTCCCCCCACCCCTTTAAAAATGTGCCAGTGTGTTGTGATAAGTCACTGTGTGTTTCTTGATATGGTTTGACTGTTTGTGATTTTATTGAGGTTTCACAACAATGTTATTGTGGTGACTGTATTGGCTGGTCCCAAGGGAATAAAGGTTTTGGCAGTTCTTCTTGATCCCTCTAAACGTAGCCTTGTCTCGTTATTGGAGGGAGCTGTTATAATCACACTGGGGATTGCTATGCTCTGCATGCTC